ACTTGGGGAAATCTATGTCAAGTTTGTGGTAAAGTTTGAGTTCTTTTTGATGATATTTCCTCCAAATCAAGGAGATTGAGGGGTACCTTTGTCAAAAATTAAAATGGTGGGGCAGACCACTGCAAGGCTCGATCATAAGAAATTGATTCAAAATGGTTCATCAAAGCCAAGCATTTTCAAGAGTCTTTTAATCAGGGGCATAATACAAAGTAGTGGGGTCATTCACATTATGATCAAACTGTTTCCAAGCTCATTTCAAAGAGAATCTCCACCAAGACCCTACCAACAAATTAGGCAAGGACAGTCCTCATAAAAGCAAGCTCTCCGCATACATTCATAATCTCCGGTGGATCTTTCTCCTACATCCAACAATCTTCAAGTTCAAATCGAGTATCAAGAAATCATGGTAGCGTAACGTTCAACCATCGTGTGACAAAACAACCTTGTTACATAGGCAGACCTCTACGCTTAGTCACCCACGACCTACCACAGGGGGGAACCATTCAAAAAAAACATTAAAGTCATAATCATAAAGAATAAGGCTGCATAAATCATGTATTAGGGCTCCTTGATCCGAAACCAAGCTATACTTATCATTTCGTCCATCTGACGACTTTCGATAGCATGGGCCGAACATATCTCAAAAAGCCCAATTACGCATTCACATTTCAAAGTCCAACATCCATCTATACATATCCAAGTCATTCATCACATACATCAATCAATCATCACATTTCATGCATCAATAAAATTTGCATGCATAACATAAAACCTTATTTTTTTATGAAGACAATCATCATTATCAATCAAGCTATCAGTTCTCAACAGAATCTCGGCAGTAGATTCCCCTGGTTAAACACGACAATTAATTATCCAGAAGACCTCGACATAAGGTTATCACGGTAGTTGATTATCTAGAAGACCTCAGTAGAAGGTTATTCAAATTGAATCTCGGCAGTAGATTCTCCTGGTTGATCATGGTAGTTGATTATCTGGAAGACCTCAGCAGAAGGTTATTCAAATTGAATCTCAGTAGTAGATTCTCCTGGTTGATCACGGACGTTGATTATCCGGAAGACCTCGACAGAAGGTTATTCAAATTGAATCTCGACAGTAGATTATATTGGTTGATCACGGTAGTAGATTATCTAGAAGACCTCGGAAGAAGGTAGTTTCCAACAGGATATCAGTAGTAGATTCTCCTGGTTGATCCCGACAATTGATTTTCCAGAAGACCTCGGCATAAGTTTATTCAAATTGAATCTCGGCAGTAGATTCCCCTAGTTGATCACGACAGTTGATTATCCACAAGACCTCAATAGAAGGTATTCAAATTGAATCTCGATGGTAGATTCTCCTGGTTGATCATGGCAGTTGATTATCCATAAGACCTCAGCAGAAAGTTATTCAAATTGAATCTTGGAAGTATATTCTCTTGGTTGATCATGGTAGTTGATTATCTGAAAGACCTCGGTATAAGGTTATTCAAATTGAATCTTGGAAGTAGATTCTCCTGGTTGATCACGACAGTTTATTATTCGAAAGACCTCGGCATAAGGTTATTCAAATTGAATCTCGACAGTAGATTCTCCTGGTTGATCACGACACTTGATTATCTGAAAGACCTCGGCAAAAGGCTATTCAAATTGAATCTCGATAATAGATTCTCCTGGTTGATCATGGCACTTGATCATCTAGAAGACCTCGGCAGAAGGTTATTCAAATTGAATCTCGGTAGTAAATTCTCCTGGTTGATCATGGTAGTTGATTATCCGGAATACCTCGGCAGAAGGTATTTCAAATCAAATCTTGGCAGTAGATTCTCCTGGTTGATCATGGCAGTTGATTATATGGAAGACCTCGACAAAAGGTATTCCAAATCAAATATCGGTAGTAGATTCTCCTGGTTGATCATAGTAGTTGATTATCCGGAAGACCTCGGCAGAAGGTAATTAAAACTAAATCTCGGCAGTAGATTTTCCTGGTTGATCACGACAATTGATTATCCGGAAGACCTCAGCAGAAGGTAGTTCGTAATTGAATCTCAGCAGTAGATTCTCCTGGTTTATCACGGCAGTTGATTATCTAGAAGACCTCGGCAGAATTAAGTTCGCAATTGAGACTCGGCAGTAGATTCTCCTGGTCGATCGTGGCATTTGATTATCCAGAAGACCTCGGCAGAAGGTATTTCAAAATGAATCTCGACAGTAGATTCCCCTGGTTGATCACGACAGTTGATTATCCGGAAGACCTTGGCTGAAGGTAATTCAAATTGAATCTCGGCAGTAGATTCTCATGGTCAATCACGATAGTTGATTATCCGGAAGACCTCGGCAGAAGGTAATTCAAAACGAATCTCGAGAGTAAATTCCCCTAGTTGATCACGACAGTTGATTATCCAGAAGACCTCGATAGTAGGTAATTCTTAATCAAATCTCGATAGTAGATTCCTCGGAAATCCCGGTAGTATATTTCTCGTAAAGAGCCTCACGTTATGCATATACATCATGCATGACATTCCTCAAAACATAAATCGGGAAGAATCGTTATCTCTTAGCCCCATCAAATTTTCACCTTAGTTGAAAACAAACAAACAGCAAATGACTAAACTCACCCTCAATTTAGCTATCTATGGTTTGATCATCAAAAAACACTTTCTCTACAATTCAACCCATCACCTAAGAATCCATGCAGTGATGTGTTCTCTACAACGTAGCTCATTACCTAAGACTTCATGCAGTAATGTGTGAAACTCATTGCCTAAGACTTCATCCAGTGATGTATTTTCCTCTCCTTACTGTAACGGTAAAATCAATGAAGTCGCTACCGAGTATTTATTTATCCCATATAAAAGGGAAAGGAAAATCATCGAAGAAAAACCTAAAGGGGGAAATCAAGGTCTTGCAACCAAGAGATTGGGTAAGGGAGTCGATTACGCAAGGGGAAGGTATTAGCGCCCCACACGTCCATAGTAGTCTACGTGATCCACTCTCGTTATTCTAATCAAAGGGTGTGTTCAATCTAATACTTAAGAGTTATAAAATGCTAAAAGGCAATGCATGCGAAGAAAATACGGGGAAAAGAAGGAAATATTTACAAATTTTCGCTCAGCTGAGCCCCGTGACCAGATGTCTACATATCCCTTTTAAGGAATCAGAGCACCGTAGTTCGGCTCATATATTTTATTTGTTTGTATTTTTTAAATGAACAATGTTGCATTAAATCATTCCACCGCTGCTCGACCTTTGGAGACTTACGACCCGTAGTGGAAAGGAGCAAACAATGCTCTTAGAAGAGAAAAGCCGAAGGGAGAAAACAAGTGGATTGGTTGGTATTTCTTACCATGAAAAGAATTTTTGTATGCTTAACATTTTTTTATACATTTGCCAAGAAAAAGTGGTTTTAGTCTTAAATGCAATTATGCAAAAGAAGAAATAAAAATCTAAAGGGAGACTAATCTATCTCTAACATAATGTTATCATATAATGAGTGATCCTATCTAGGTTAGCGTGCCAAAGAAATTCTAACAAACTATCCTATAGGGAACATACAATGAGATCGAAGTCGTGATCTCAATTAATAAATTGAGTGACTCATCAATCAACAAGAAATAAAGTAAAGCGATAAAATCATATAGGGATCATACACTGAGAGCGAAGTCGTGATCTCAATTTCTAAATTGAGTCACTCATTGATCAACAATAAAGGAGACAAACCCAAACACGACACATATGATAAATGAAGTGCGAAATTCCTGCTACAGGTCTTTAAACAGCGACTTTGAGCGCACGCTCTTTATTTCCTACTTCTCATGATATCTATAAAGCGATAAAGGAAGAAGTATAACTCGGAAGAAGTATAATACCAAACAAACAATAAAGTCCGCAAAAAGCGCAATCAAAGCAAAGAAACCCGGAATACTTCACGCAAACTGACATCAATAAACAAACAGTCAAAGATCGAATGCTCGAAATAGATGTTGAAGCTTCATCGATGTGAAAATAAATCACAATCGGAATCCAAAACACATCCGCATATCAAATAGTGAACCTGTATAAGACTCAACTCAACAAGCAAAGGTGAATCACAAGTTTCAAGTAAAAAAAATTAGAAATTAATTTCCTAAAAAATCAAATGAAAATCCTAAAAAACTTCATTAATTTTTGTAGTTCATTATCTAAAACAAGATTTAAATGGAATTCCTAAATTTTATATATTTTTTATTGTTTTATTATACGTATTTTACTATTATTTTTATTATAAAAAGGAATTTAAACTAAAGAAAACAAAATCTAAAAAAGGCATAGGAAATAGAAATAATCGGGGGGGGGGGGGGGGGGGGGGGGGGGGGGGGGTTGTTAAACTAGATTCATGGTGCTGCAGGCAGATAAGAAGTCCAATCTGAATAGACCCATAAGAAGTTTTTTTTTTCACAAGCTAAACAAATTCCAAAAATTTCATCGATGGGCCTGGAGGATATTGTTTCTGTCCACTCACCAAATCCATATCCATTTTTTGAACTTTAACTAATTAATTGTCAAAAAATAATAATGCAAAAAGGGAAGATAGGGTTTAGAAATTGTGTCTGTTGGCCTGAACACGAAGCTCTCTCTTTAGGCGCCATAAGAGGCTTCTCGTCATCTTCTTCTTGGAAAATCTCTTCCTCTTATCTTTTCTCTTCAACATGAACGAAGGATAACAAGCTTCGCTCACCTCTGTAATATCCATCATTAAAGCTTCAGGGCTTCATTATTCGTTACGGATTCAACATCATCCCATCATTTCTCCTCATCCCTCAACGAACTCAATCCATCTCACAACTCTTAAAACCAAAACAGAACACGGTGCAGATACCAGAATGATATGCTCAACTTCTTTGATCAACATGTCGTCATCCCTTCACGTCTTCGATTGGATTCTGCCGATGCAAACCCTTTCGGCGGTACTCGCCCCCAAATATCTCAGAGAGACACACAGTTCAAAAATGCAACACGAATTGAATGACAATGAGGATTGAAAAGAGTTACCTACTGAAAGCAGTCAGGTGCCTTTTCGATGCAATTCTGATGTTGAGCAATCGAATTCAGCAAAATCAAGTACGAATCTCCCAGTCTTTTCTCCTTCTGCGTGCGTTCTTCTTATACAATTTATGCGATTTCAGATCTCTTTGTATTCCGTGCGTTCTTGCAGATGAAGAGTGAATCGTTAATGATGATGATGCATAACTCTTGACGAATATGGTGATTAAATGTTGAATCGATGGAGTTACAGAGAGAAAGTTGAGCGAGTTTGAAGATTGAATATGATCAGAGATGGTTGATGAAGATTGAATAATTGATGCAAAGAAGATAGTGAAGGTGTAATGATGATGAAGGATGAAGCAGAACGGTGAGAATAATGGTGGAGAGTGAAGGTTGATGAAGATAGAGAGAATGGAGGCTTAGAGATGACATAGAATGGAAGGTTGAAAATGATAGGGATCCACCAAAAGGTGAGTCTTCAATCTCTGTTATCTGTTGTGATTCCCCCCCTCTATTTCTATTATCAATTCTGTTATGGTTGGTCCCCAATCTGTTAGTATTTCTGTTACTAATTTGTTAGACTTTTGTTGGAAATATCTTAGCTTCTCCTCCTAATTATGTTATTTCTGTTATGGATGAGAGGCCCAAATTGATTCAGTTATGGATCAGTTATGCTGTTAGAAAACCGTTTAAAAAAACGCTGACATTTTTGTTATGACTGTAATAGGATAGTTATCAATTCCAATTGAAAAATCAGTTCAGCTTGTTGTAGTTATTTCTTATTTGTTTATTTTCATTTCACTCCTCCTTCTTATTTCTATTAGAACTTTGTTATATACCCCTCCAAAATCTGTTAGAGATTAGCATACCAGAGCCGTCAGATTGAAAACTCGGTTAGGGAAATCGATGGTCAGCCTTGAATCTTATTCTGTTTTGAGTTTCTTATCTGAAATTTCCATCTCTTTTACAAGTAGTTGAAGCTTAACGAAGTTTATTACAGGTTGAATGCCTCGAAGCCTTTGGATTGAAAACTGATTATAATGAATGACGGGCGAAGATTGATTCGGGATTGAGAGGTAAATTCTAATTTTCCCTAGAGTTTTTTTTTTTTTACTTTTTCTAATTATCCATCATTTTTCAATTTTGTCAACTTATTCTCATATCAGACAGTGTTATTCCGCAAATATACTATTCAATGTCTTCTCCAATATTCCTTTCCAATCTTCCTTTTTACGTGATCTGTTTCTTCAAATAAGCAGCCACTGGCACAAGCAACTTTAGAGCCTAGTCCTTTTGATGTCACATTTTGGGTTTAAATACAAGGCATGACAGGTGGGACAGAACTTTGCAGTTGGGCATTTTGAAAATAAGATTTGGAATTTGAACTTAACGGATGGACAATGATATTTGTATTGGTGAACATATTAAATAAAGTTGAACAATGACAATGATATTTGAATGGAATATGGAACATAGTGATGTAAGTCTTATATTTTGCAACTTGTTTTCAAAGTAATCCAAATAAATCTTCCACTCGAATTAATCCTTTTATAAAATCAAATGCTTAAATACTTTAATTCACTTTGATTGTCTTTGAACCTTAGCACACTTCAATCTAACTCAACTTATTTCTTGAATGAACTTATTACCCAATTTTCCAAATCCAAGCTAACTTGTAATTGGAGCAACAAGTAATAGCGGTGCTTCGATCACACCATGTGCCCATAACATCATCTCCTGTGACGCGATGGATGTTTTGAAATTCAATCCACAAAGACACCTTAACTTGGTAACTAAAGATTTTAAAGCAAATATCTTTGGGAAAGCCTTGAAGATGATAAAACTTGAAGCATATGAGAACACCTCAACAAGCTCAGGCACAATAAATCGGAAGCTCAAATATTCTTACTTTGAAGTCACAATAATGAAAAGATGATTTGAGATCTTGAAGAAACCTAAAAACTAAAAACATTCACAACTGAATCTTGAAAGCCCCCTGAATTTCTGCTTTACTACTACTTGACGGAACACTTGAGCTTGAGATGGAAAAATTATTATTCGTACTTAACCGCATGGAGCGAAGCTAGAAGACAGTGCAATATCAACACCATTATGCTATGTGATGATAGAAAAAAAGTCTTAGGCGCAAAAATTGGGGTATAATAGCTTCCCTTATTTAAGTGTCTTCTATCCGGAGATACGAAGATTAAAATATTTGTTTCTACGCGATTGGAGATACTTAAATACAAAAATAAGCCCTATTTTTGGCCCTAGGATGCCATGAGATGCTTATGATTATGGATGTAACATATAAACTTCATGTAGATGAACTAGACACACTGGAGAAGCAAAAATAAGATCAACAGACTAACAAAAGAGTTCGACCATGAAAATAAATCTTTGGGGAACAACACGACTCTGGGAACATAAATTTGAATCTATTGGAGACAAATTGGCTCCGTTGGGGAAAAGAAGAATCAACTTTACTGTAAGATCCAGAGAGGAGACAAAATAATATAAACTCAAAAATTAAGGGAAAAGTAATGGATGACAACAATTAATCGATAGCTGTGAACTATCCACTCATAGAGGAGATAGCAAAAAGAGAGTAACATTAACACAGGGGATCGACAACTGCTAACATGAAGGGCACAAACATAAATGGTAAGATAATACCAACTCAAAGATGACGATAAACATCAACATCAAGACTAAAAAATGAATGATTGGTATCAGTACTTATGACTAGTAACAATGGTTTGACGTTAGCACTTATGGCTGGAAACAACTCAACTCAATCAGAGTAAGGTCCAATGAGGAGAAAGAGATGATCCTTGAATAATAATGACAATGAACTACCAATTCAAAGATGAAGGTAGAAAAAAAAACAAAGAATCGATACTGATTTTTTATTGAAGGTAAAGAAACAGAAGATACACCGACGTTTACTGAAGGTGGGTTACAAACTTTCCCTGGAGGTAGAGATACAAAATATGCACCGACTTTTACTGAAGGTGAGCTACCGACTTTTACTGAAGGTAGGGAGAAAAGAGAGTACACCAGCTTTTACTGGAGGTGAGGTCTCAGAGAACAATAACGAATTTCCCAAAATTTTGGCGTTCTACTTAGAACGAGTAAAAATACAAGCTATCTCAAATAAAAAGACTACCACTTGTAAAGATTTCTCAGCAAACTTCTCTTGAGAAACTTCCTCGTAGAGATACCATTTGATGGAGAATCAGATAAGCTTCCCCTTGATCTTGACTATAAGCCACAAACTGGTCTCAGTTTCTTCTTTAACCAAAATATTTCACTTGGAAAGGGTAAAAATGCAAGCTATCTCAAATAAAGAGACTACCACTTGGAAAGATTTCACAACAAACTTCTCTTGCGAAACTTTCTCGAAGAGATACCATTTGATGGAGAATTAGATAAACCTCCTCTCGAACCTGACTATAAGCCACAAACTGGTCTTAGTTTCTTCTTTAACCAAGATATTTCACTTGGAAAGGGTAAAAATACAAGTTATCTCAAATAAAGAGACTACCACTTGTAAAGATTTCAAAACAAACTTCTCTTGCGAAACTTCTTCGAAGAGATACCATTTGATGGAGAATCAGATAAACTACCCCTTGATCTTGACTATAAGCCACGAACTGGTCTCAGTTTCTTCTTTAACCAGGATGTTTCACTTGGAAAGGGTAAAATATCACTGTAAGAATATTTCAACGAATTGTCTTTATCATTGAAGTACATCCAAACTCAACAACGGACTACCTCCCATAATGACGAGAGTACCATTCATTGGAGTAATAAATTTTCATCAACAAACTGTCTCCCATAATGACGAGACTCCCATTCATTGGTATATAAATCTCAACAATAAACTACCTTCCATAATGACGAGGCTACTATTCATTAGAGTATAGATCTCAACGACGAACTACTTTCCATAATGACAAGGCTACCATTCATTGGAGTAACAACATATTAACAACGAACTACATTCCATAATGACAAGGCTACCATTCATTGGAAAAAAAACATCTTTTCTAGCATTAACAGACTTACTGGGAAAGAACAGGTTACTCAAATAAAGAGATCTGCCGCCTGCTATTTAAGAATGAATTGTAATAAGACTGGAGAGAAATGAAGCTTGATTTCATGGGGAAATACTAATACTTTCCTGTCGAGGAGAAAAAAGTCTTTACGTGCAAAATAAATGCACCTTCTCAAACCAAGGCTCGAAACTTACAGAAGTCAGAATAATAATAGTGTCGAGGACCACAGATTCAAACCAGAAATAAACCGGAATGAAACAGTCAACCCAGACAACACCTGATGAGAAATAAACTTAAAAGAGCATCACATTCCATCAAGATAATGAACTGAATAGGAAGGATAAAGAAAAATTCTCCATAAAGAATAATTCTGTGGGTAAATTGAAAGGATATTGTTGTACCCCAAAATTTGCCCTCTTTTCATACACGCATATTATTGGTTTTATGGTTATGGAATAAAGGTATATTTATCAAGCTTCTTTAGGTTACAAGTGACGTTTATTTCATCACTGGATATTCTCAGAGTATTTTCCGTGCTGAAGATCGATTCGCTGTTGTGCAATGATTCGGGGTTCAAAGATTCACAAGTCTAACCCGCCGCAGTATATTCAGGTGTTCTTTCGCCAATATATCTCTGATAACGTATTCTCAAATTCAGGTTCGGCTCAAGAGTCAATTCTTTAAAGAAGGTATCCGAATGTGTGAGTTTTCTCGAAGAAATATGGTGAAAAAGTATACTTAAAGTGCAGTTTTTACGCACTAAAAAATTCATAACTTGAAGATTGTGGCTCGTTTTGAACCTGTTCCGAAGGCCAAAATTCTGTATTGACGTCATCTACATTTTCATCTCTCACGGTTAGAAGCCAATTTCGATCAGAAGGTCTTCAAAAATGCGGATTTATCAAGTATTTTCGTATAAAAAATTTGTGACAAAAGTTTATTTGCGTCATGTTCAAAAAATCATAACTTGGTCGATTTTTATCGTATCGAGCTGGTTCCGGTGCCAAAATTTCACAAATTGAGTTGGCTAAGTTTTCACAGGAGGTATTGAGTTCGAATGGTATCCAAAAGGCCTTCATTTTTTGCTCAGAGTGCGTGTGACGCGCTGAAAATCCTGAA